TTTGCACTAAAGAAGATTCCCTACAATAAGTTACTTTTACGGGAACCATGAGTAGTCAGAATTGGATTTCTCTTCGGGGAGCTAAAGCAAGTTGGCAGATGAAAAATATTGAATAAGCTAACCCCATTTCAGTGTTCTCCATTTAGCAAGACTAAATCCACATTTACTACTCATAATGAACAAATGAAATAACTGAAAATACTTTGTTGCATTAGGTATGTTGCACAATGTATAGAATTGATGGCCTTTAGGTGTGACTTTGCCAAATATAAAAGATCACAACACGTCAAACTAAATGAGCAGAATTTCAAACGATGTGTAATTACTGCCACTGAGACCATCTCTCACTGACACCTCATTTCCATGGCTTATCTTCATAAACCATATTGATGTTGCTTTCCAAGGTCACCGTGCGTTCGTATGATGAATATTTCGACTGGCGTAGCGTCCCATGCGGTGATGGATTTCGCTGGTATTGATTCGTTGGTGTCGGTGCCCAAAAAGGGGGACCAAGTTTTCAAAGACGAGTGTGTCTTTTCTTTCGCGGCCCCAGATGATGAAAATGGATTGTTCATATGCCTGCGCACTTTCGTAGGAGTTGGTTCAGATTTTATCAACGAATATGTCAGGAGAACCGGAAATTCAGTATTTCTGCAGTACAAAGTTGTTAAAATATTTAAGAACAAAGGTGGGTTGGGATTTCATCCGGTTCTCACAATTTTCTCCATGTGTATTTGTGGATGCGTTTGCTGCAATTTCATTCATTTTGATGGCTAGATTTTTTTTTGTGACCGAATTATGGTGCTTGGTAATATATGCAGATTCTCAAGATGATGAACCTGCGAAGCCCAAGAAACTTGCGATTGGTATACCAGGTGGCTTTGAACTACCTGAGGATAAATACACCGTCATCGAGAGGTGGTTTCTGCGTCGTTTCCCCGGTGGACACACACTAGATATTCCTTGTCCCTTGGAGAATTCCGCGGCTACCGACATGTCACACCTGGAGGGCCTGAGGCTCTCCGCCAAAGTTATGTCCTGTATCAACAACGTTCAGCGTTGCGATTCGGCCATTCTTGCGGCGGAACGCGCGGGTGCAGCCGCTGCTTGGGAGGCTGAAAATGCTTGTTCAGTTTCTAAATTTGCTCTTGATTTGGTTCAGCTGGACAACGGGGTCACCGTTCCACCTAGGTGAGTGTGTTTTGTTTTCCTGATTTTGGTCCTCCTTTTGAGTAAGGCTGTTATTGCTAAGTACGGGTTTACACGCTTCGCGTCATCACTATTTGATTGCGTTTGTCAGTTCTTGGTATTTGAGGTTGAACTAAGTCGCGGATTGCAAAAGGGTTGATTGTATTTAGAATAATGAAATAGACAGAAAGAAATATGTTCTAGTTTTTGGGTAGGAATTGAACCTCCCCAAGCAATTAACCACGATTGGTGTCATTGTTTAAGCAACACAGTGACTGTTTGCACTAAAGAAGATTCCCTACAATAAGTTACTTTTACGGGAACCATGAGTAGTCAGAATTGGATTTCTCTTCGGGGAGCTAAAGCAAGTTGGCAGATGAAAAATATTGAATAAGCTAACCCCATTTCAGTGTTCTCCATTTAGCAAGACTAAATCCACATTTACTACTCATAATGAACAAATGAAATAACTGAAAATACTTTGTTGCATTAGGTATGTTGCACAATGTATAGAATTGATGGCCTTTAGGTGTGACTTTGCCAAATATAAAAGATCACAACACGTCAAACTAAATGAGCAGAATTTCAAACGATGTGTAATTACTGCCACTGAGACCATCTCTCACTGACACCTCATTTCCATGGCTTATCTTCATAAACCATATTGATGTTGCTTTCCAAGGTCACCGTGCGTTCGTATGATGAATATTTCGACTGGCGTAGCGTCCCATGCGGTGATGGATTTCGCTGGTATTGATTCGTTGGTGTCGGTGCCCAAAAAGGGGGACCAAGTTTTCAAAGACGAGTGTGTCTTTTCTTTCGCGGCCCCAGATGATGAAAATGGATTGTTCATATGCCTGCGCACTTTCGTAGGAGTTGGTTCAGATTTTATCAACGAATATGTCAGGAGAACCGGAAATTCAGTATTTCTGCAGTACAAAGTTGTTAAAATATTTAAGAACAAAGGTGGGTTGGGATTTCATCCGGTTCTCACAATTTTCTCCATGTGTATTTGTGGATGCGTTTGCTGCAATTTCATTCATTTTGATGGCTAGATTTTTTTTTGTGACCGAATTATGGTGCTTGGTAATATATGCAGATTCTCAAGATGATGAACCTGCGAAGCCCAAGAAACTTGCGATTGGTATACCAGGTGGCTTTGAACTACCTGAGGATAAATACACCGTCATCGAGAGGTGGTTTCTGCGTCGTTTCCCCGGTGGACACACACTAGATATTCCTTGTCCCTTGGAGAATTCCGCGGCTACCGACATGTCACACCTGGAGGGCCTGAGGCTCTCCGCCAAAGTTATGTCCTGTATCAACAACGTTCAGCGTTGCGATTCGGCCATTCTTGCGGCGGAACGCGCGGGTGCAGCCGCTGCTTGGGAGGCTGAAAATGCTTGTTCAGTTTCTAAATTTGCTCTTGATTTGGTTCAGCTGGACAACGGGGTCACCGTTCCACCTAGGTGAGTGTGTTTTGTTTTCCTGATTTTGGTCCTCCTTTTGAGTAAGGCTGTTATTGCTAAGTACGGGTTTACACGCTTCGCGTCATCACTATTTGATTGCGTTTGTCAGTTCTTGGTATTTGAGGTTGAACTAAGTCGCGGATTGCAAAAGGGTTGATTGTATTTAGAATAATGAAATAGACAGAAAGAAATATGTTCTAGTTTTTGGGTAGGAATTGAACCTCCCCAAGCAATTAACCACGATTGGTGTCATTGTTTAAGCAACACAGTGACTGAGGTGTCGCGATGAATTGTCCCGTCAGATAGACCTCAGTTTTGAACGTATTAAACAGCGTTTCTGAATCTGCTATTTTAAGTGTCACCTCCCGTTTCTTTTGGTAGGAAATCACTAGAATTCGGGCTCTA